CTAAGTGTAAACAAACTCACATTATAATTTTGTTAATAAATTTTGTGGCTGAGGCTACAATCTATCTTTTGACATCCATTCTTACTCCCTCTCTTTCATAATAGAACCTTAATTAGCAAGACATGTGACTATCAGAATGAAGGTCACATTCTCTAGTCTTTGCAGGTAGGTGTAGTCTCACTAAGTTTGCCTGATGGGCTGTAACTATAAGTCTGTACACACCTTCTACATGTTACCTCTAAGGGATTGAAGAACACCCTATACTTTTCTCTGTTCCTCTTACTTGGGCTGAAATGAAGCTAGATTGGTAAGCTATTTTAGGAAATTTATGCTGTAGAAGAAATAGAAATACTCACCAAATATTCTATATATTTGTAATATATCTCAGGCCCATGTGTTTAAATAAGCCAAATGACTACTGTTAGTAGACATAACCTGAATCACTTCCTAGCTGAACATGAAAAGGTCATATGTAAATCTGAACTCCTCTCTTCCTCTGAAAGAGGGACCAGGAAACTTCAGATTCCATTCCATGAGCCTATAAGGTGGCAGAGTCTCCATCATCCCCACGTTCCTGAGTGATTTGGGGGAGTCAAGCCCTTTGCTGATGATATGCTATATAATGTGTAGAAAATAAACTTTTCTTACATTAATCATCTGGGATGTGAGAATCAGTTTGTTAATGTAAAGCAGTTTATTCCAACCAATGGGAGAATGAAGACAACACCCATGGATAGGAGGATCCAAAAATTGAAGCTCCAACATCATGGAGCTTTTGTATCACTTTGGGCCTCTTACTAATTATGTTAGAGAGAAATAAAAGTCTTTTTTATTTAAGCTTCTATTGATGGTCTTATATATATATATGAATTTCCACACCACATTTGCCAAATTTCAACTTAAATTATTTGAGGTTCGCATTTCTAAAATAAGGATTATAATTGCATAATGAAATACATTAAAATAATATTTGTTAGTATGTGAAAACCTACTTTTAAATCTCTTATGGATAATAGTTATGAAAATGTTCTTTTCCATGATTACTCAATTTTTAAAATAAATATAAATAATGTATAACGTTTTGAACTTGGACTTCCTCTTTCATACATTAATAAACATTTATTTAACTTTTACTGCTGTCCAGATATTATATATGCAATTTTTACATATTACTTTCTGACTCTTCACAGCTCTGAGAGGTAGACATTCTAGTTATGATCCCAATTTTAACAGGTGAAGAAAGGGATGTATAGAGAGGAAAGTAACTTTCTATAAAAGACTGGCAATAAATAACCAAGGCAACATTCAGAACAAGTTCTTTTTTATTCTAAATCCATTGGCTCTCCACAAGAGTACATTTGAATTCCTGGTAAGTTTAATGCAGATCTGGTTAAAAATTTCATTTCTTTTTGCTAACTTTCTATACATATTGTCTTTTTTTCTCTTTTCCCCCATTTATCCTTCCCTCTCTCTCTTCCTTGATTCTTGTGTTTTCATATTGTCCTTTTTTTAAGAATAGAATGTCCTCTGTATTAAAGATTAGAAGGGATTGCTGTGTTTGCCTTTCACAGTATAACAATAGATCTGTATAAAAATCACAAACTCTCTCTACTTGCATGAAAATCTCCTATTACTCCTGTAGCCATAATTTCATACCTGGGAAATTACTTTTTGGAAATAGCAAATTCATTCTGAAGAATTGTTGTGCAGACAGGTCTGAGATCAGGATCAATTTCCTTTTTATTGCCCCTTTCTTTGTGTTCAGTGTGGATGCCTGGGCTGGCCTCTGCCGTGTCCCTGCATTGCAAGCAGCTTGATAGTCAGCTCCTTGGTGTGCTTTGAAAAGTTTGTGACTCAGCTGGGGGCTCATTTTGAGGTAGGCTCTCAGGTGGGCATGAACCATATGTCTCTATGGGAAAACTTCTACACTAACATTGCACACTTCTAATATAATCTGATTTTGATATGTTAACACAATAAAATCAGTGGTAAGTGCTGGAGCTTAAGAAATAAAAAGCACAATTTTGAAAAAAGTGTTTCAAGATTGAAAAACAAAAACAATACACATGATAAACTTTTGATAGAGATAAATATACCCTATACTATTGTAACAAAAAGAGAAATATGGAACTGATTTTAGACATATAGAGGAACGGGTAACATAATAAGTCTCTGAGACAGGTTGATAAGTGTTCTTGAATCTTAAATAAATAATAATAGTTAGCTAGGTAGATCATCATACAAATTTGAGATTAGGGTGTTTAAATTTGCTGATAGTCAATCTTTTTTCACTTAAGAAAATGATAATTTCACTCGATTTAACCTAACATATGCTTTGCAATTATCTAAGAGTTTCACAATGATTAATTGATTTAATTTTCATAATAATCATAGGAGTTAAGTATTGTCTTTTTATAAAAGGAAATAATCATAGAAAGGTTAAACGTACTTTACAAAGTCAAAAAAACAATTGAGCTGAAAAGGCAGGCAGGATTCATAGCAGGCCATCTGGCTTCAGGACGCCTTCTCTTAGTAACATCACTGATTTGCAGTTGAGATAGTGAGGACATTCCTTTCCTCTTTAAAAGTCAATAACTCTGTTCACATATACATCCAATTCTTATAAATTTCCAGCATTCATGCTAGCTTAGAGTCTCTCTTTGCTATAGACACAGACAGTGTATACTTAAATTGTCCATGTATAAACAGAGATCTATGTCTTGATGGCCTCTGGATTACAACTCCAACAAAGTGATATTGTGAGGACATTTAAAACTCCTAAACTGTAAAGCAAAATCACGTTAAATTCTTTGATCATTTTCCCCCAGACTAAACCTATCCATTTTGAAGACTTAAAAATGTGTTTAAATAACACTAAATATTTATTTTTATATGCATGCATGTACAATCACCATCAGAACATTAATAAGAATTTTGAATATATTATACCAGGTTATTTACAGAACTAAAAAATGAAGTGCTAATAAAACATTTCTAAAACAAAAACAAATGGATTTCATTAAACACATTAGAGTTTATGGCATTCTGATAATGAGCAATAGATTTATTACACGGCCGGCCAGTGAATTTGTTAAACAATTTAAAATCGAATTGTTTAAATACATGATATGAATGTCAGGCTTGGGTAAAATTAAATTAATTTTTATTTTTTTTAAAGTAACACAGACCAACAAAGCTATATTGACCCCAAATCAAATCAAATATTTTAGCCAAATAGTTTGTACGCTTGTTAAGACAAGTTTCAGTTATATTTTTAAAGAGTTTCTCATAAATGCAAAATGGCTCCAATGTAAACAAAACAATAACAACTCTTATTAGTCAAGAAATTTTATCTTGTTGTCCAAGTCTTTAAGTAATAAATATGTGTAGCTTTACAAATTCATCAAAATCGCTAGCACTTCATAAACAAGGTCAAAAGAAAATTTGCTAGTTTGGGTATTTTATTCATTTACATTTTGATAAGCTTAAACAGTGCTAAGAAGGAAAGTTCAGTCAAGGATGCATACTTTATGCTCAGTCACTGAAGTATAATTGAATATAAGCAGGGCAAAGCCACAATATATCTCTGTGATTTCTTAGACTTCGGATATGAAGCACCTATTCACAGACAATAGTTATTTGTCTAGAAGTGGAGAGATGAAAGAGCACAGTAAGAGGACTTTAATTGTTCTATTATTATTATTATTATCATTAATATCACTCTGCTAAGGAGAATGGGTAGTTTACCTCATTTTTTAAAAAGATAATAGACATTTGCTATGCCCTTGAAAACTTTCTTGGAATATAACAATATGATTTAGGATTCCTTACTAGAGACCTCATCAGTTCTTGATCAACCCACATAACATGTACATGACATCTGCATATTTATTAGCCTTAATCCCTCTTTGATGTTGGCTTTCCACCAATCCAAGCTTGATAGATGCTCCTTATTCCCTTTACAGCTTCTTAAAAGATGAGGCCAAGGCTCATTTCAGAAAACATTAAATTGATGTTTATGTTTTCTGCTTCCTCCAACATTCTGCTTCCTCCCCATTAACTTTCCTTCTTGAAACAAATATATCCAGGTTAAAAAAAGTGAGAGCATGTTCCCCTAAGCAGAAGCATCTTCTCTTTCCATTTTAATTCCTGCTCCAGGTTTATTTATTCAAAGGGTTCCTTCTAGAAGTGTGAGCAAAAAGAAAATCCTGTGCTAGAGCGGATAGAGTTTTATGCCCCTCAATCTCTGGGAATTCTCAGTAAACAATGCCTTTGAGTGATCACCGTGAATATGAAGCTTCTGTGCCTTGACACCTGAAAATGGGTCCAAGAAAATGGATTTGGTTCACTTAAATTTATCCTTCAGCCTGGCTGCAGCCCTGTCACCAATTTTGCTATCCATTGCTCAGTCATTCAGCAATCTGCACATAGAGCCAGCAAATGCATGTGGGTACTTGTTGAATGTTGCTGTCAATGTGACCTCAAACTCAAAGATCCTTTTTTTTTTAGGTTAAGTGACCAGGTCACCCCTCTTAATGTTGTACCTATCTCTTAAAAAAGAAAGATAAACTCAGTAAATTCTCCCTCTGGCTCAGGAACAGCAAACAAAAAACTGCTCTTTATAGATGATTCTAACACAATATTGTTATCTTTTATAATTCCTTCAAAATACTCCTTTATTTTTAATAAACACGCAAGAGCATCAAATATGTTATAAGATATTTGGAATAATCAAGAAGCTATTCTAGAAAAAAGAAAAGATAATCTGTGACATTCCTATCAATAATGATGTTAATGATTTTGGCCCCAGGTAATGTTTACATCACAGAAATTTGAGAAAACCTCCAACATTCTGCTCATGTACAGAAATTTAATTGTAAATAGGAGGAAACTACTGAAGGAGATCTTTAGATAGGGATTTGGGGTGTTAAAAAGCTGTGATTTTCTCCTCTTGCTTATATATGGTTGCAATTATGACTTTGCTTTCAATCTATTCATAGAGCATGAAATCTCAAGTCTCCTCACTGAGAATCTCGACCTCTGCCTCAGGACCACCTGTATATTGAGGGAGCTCTCTCTGTCTTCTCACCAAAGAGGGTATGTGTGAAACAAGTAAAACAGAATGAGAATCACAAAGTTTTGTATTGTAAGCCCAGCATTTATTTCTAGCATCTTCCACTTAATAAACTGTATAATCTTAGGTAATCCATGTTCATTTTTTTTTGATCCTTAAGTTTCTTATCTATATAGAATAGGGACAAAATATCTATTCTCCAACTCATTTAATTTTGCTGGAAATTTTATAAGCAGGTGTTTTAGCTTGTTTCGTGTTGCTATATCCAAATTCCACAGACTGGGTAGTTTATAAGGAGATGAAATTTATTTCTCATAGTCATGGAGCCTGGGAAGTCCAATATCAAGGTGCCAGCATCTGGTGAGGGCTTCCTTGTTGCATCCTGACATGGTAGAAAGTAACACATGGAAAGAAGGGGAGTGTAGATGCTTGGGTATTTCTTCCTCTCATGAAGCTACTAACCCTATTCTGGGGACGGCACCTTCATAACTTTACCTAACTCTGATTCTCTCCCAAACACTCTACCTTCCAATAGTAACATATGAATTTGAGTTATTAATTTCCAACACATGATCTTTGGAGGACACATTCAAACCATACCTGATGGTGAACATAAAAGTTATCTGAAAAAAATGCAAACTTCATTTCAAATAAATGTGGGCCTCAATAATAAAAGTGTGTGTGGGAATAGTAAAATGTTTAGGATTAAAAATCAGATAGCTTCTACTACTTGTTAACTTTGTAATGCTTAGAAATTTTCATAATCTTTCAAAATGCACTCTCTTCTTTAGGAAGGTATGGTTAATACATCCTGAGTTTTGTGATGTTTCAATAAGATAATGAATACAGTATGCATGGTATAAATTTTGGCATTTACATAAACCCTCAGTAAGTAGCAGCTGAAACTTTGTCTTTCTAGAGAAATGAATATATATTCCAACTTGATAGACCTGTTTTTAATATCCCCAAAGCCCTATATATTTAAAAAAAATTATAACAAAGTTAAACCAGAAATTCTTCTGTGTATTAGAGAGTGTCTTAACCTGATTCATGTTGCTATAACAAAATTCCGCTGACTGGGTATTTTATCATGAACAGAAAATTATTTAGCTTATGGTTGTGGGGGTTGGTAAGTCCAAGATCAAAGAGCCAGCATCTGGGTAATAGTGTGGTGTCAGTACTCTGTTGGAAAGCATCGCATGGGCAAGAGACTATGTGTATGAGAGAAGGAAGGTTTTCACCCTTACTATAATAAACTCAGCCTCATGACAATGACATTATCACTGTTTAAAGGCCCTACCTTCTAAAAGTCTTTCTTTCTTTCTTTCTTTCTTTCTTTCTTTCTTTCTTTCTTTCTTTCTTTCTTTCTTTCTTTCTTTCTATTTTTTAGAGGGGGTACTGAAGATTGAATTCAGGGGCACTCAACCACTGAGCCACATCCCAAACACTATTTTGTATTTTATTTTGAGACAGAGTCTCAATGAATTGCTTAGTACCTCACTTTTGCTAAGGCTGACTATAAACTCCAGATCCTCCTGTCTCAGTCTCCTGAGTCATTGGGAGTACAGGCGTGTACCACCACACCTTGCTCAAAACTGTTTCTTTAGGGATTAAGTTTCCAACACGTGAACCATGGAGGTCACATTCAAACAGTAGTGTTCTGTTTATAGCTAAATTTGTGTCTTTCTCATAGGCAAAGCACATCCACTCCAATCCAAATAGCCCATGAAGTCTGAACTCGTTCTAGCACCAACTCAGTCCAAAGTCTTATGTACCTCACATGCTAGTGGGACTCAAGGCACCATTCCTTCTGAGGCAATTTCTCTCCAGCTCTGAGCTTGTGAAGTCAAAATAAGTTATTTACTTCCACAATATAATGGTGTGACAGGTCAGAGATAGACTGTCCATTCTGAAAGTGAGGATAAGGCAATAAAAAAGAGGGTAATTTCTCCCAAGTAAGTCCAAAACACAACATTAAACCTTAGAGCTCCATTCACTCACTGAATGTGCCACTTTCTAGATATAATGGAGCAGTTGGGTCCCCAAGGTCTCAGACATCCCTGCCCTTGTGCCTTTTCTGGGCTTAATCTACACTGCAGTTTTCACAGGCTGGAATTTCATGTTGGTAACTCTACCAAGCTGGCATTGCACACTGATATCTCTACAGCTCTGGCCACTTGCAGGTGGTCTTATTTCCATGGCTCCACCATCATTTCCCTAGTGGAAACTCTCTGTGGTAGCCCTGCCCCTGATACAGGTTTCTAAATGGGCCCCCACGCTGTCCAGTACATCCTTTGGAATTTGGACGAAGGCCAATTAGGACCCACATTGTATGCATTCTGTGCATCTGCAAAGTTAGCACTGTCCAGTCACCACCAAAGATTGGTACTTTTAGGTGTGGTAGCAAGAAGAGTATTTAGACTTTCTGGATCTATAGTAGTGGCTGCCAAGAAATACTGTTCCAGAAGGTGGGAAGCAGAGATTTGAGGCAGCCCAGAGCAACGGATGCTGGGGTGCTGAGAGTGCCTACCTGGAAACCTGGTTTTTGAAGTCCTGATTTGCTATGGAGATCTCTGAATGCATTTGGGTCATCCTCCCATTGTCCGACGAATAGCACCTGATACCCTTGTATTAATACCGATCATTCTAGCAGATGTTCACTGGTATATGCCTGTGTCTTAGTTTTCTAAAGAATCTTTATTTTTTTACTTGAAAAAGCTGTGAACTTCCCAAATCTTCCTATTCTGCTTTTTATTTAATTATAAATTCCATATTTAATCATTTTTCTCTTCTTTTGTTTTACTGTAAGAGGCCAAAGGAAGCTATATGTGGCTACTTCTACACTTTGATGATTAGTCTTTCTTGTGACAGACATTCCAGTTTTCATACTTAAGTTTTACCTCCTATAAAACACAGACATGATTCTGCTAAGTTCTTTGCCACTGTATAAAAAAAAAGATTGTCACCCCCATCCCAAAATTTGCTGCTGATTTAATTCTGAGACCTCATTAAAATAGCTTTTACTGTACATATTTCTATCAGTAATCTGAACATGACTACTTACTCTAAGATATTCCAAACTTCTCCTACATTTCTTGTTTTTTAATCTGATTTCCCACTAAACACACTGGTCGTGGCAACCAAGGGATTTTTGCTCCACCAAATTCTCCCAGCCTCTACCCATTATTCAATTCCAAAGTTACTTCCACATTTCAGGTACTTGTTATAGAAACTTGTGCTTCTATAACAGAATACCACAGATTGTGTAATTTATAATTAACAGAAATTTATTTGGATAATGTCCCTGGAGGCAAAAAAAAAAAAAAATCCCTATTGAGGGAATAGCGTCCGATAAGGGTTTTTCTGCTGCATGAGGACATGTCAGAAGGTGGCAGGAAAGAAGAGCAAAAGGAGGGAGCAAGGAAGGCCCAAACTCACTTTTATAACAAGCCACTCCCGTGATAACAGACATATTCCCATAATAACCACTTTATTCCATTCACAAGGTCAGAGCCCGATGACCTAATCACCTGTTAATAGTGCTGCTTCTCAGCACTGCTCCCCTGGAATTGAATTTTCCAATACATGAACTTTGGGGGACACATTCACACAGCAGAAACAAGATAGGACACCTTCAGGACACAGAATCCTATAATCAAGCCAGCGACGCATAAAATTATTTCTGTCCTTTGATATTATTTGTCACACTGCCACATTCTCTGTCAAGCAGAGGTGATGGAACATGCTGGACTATGCGTTTATAATCTATCTCATCATTGCATGTTTGTTCCATTTGCATGGTGTTAGGCAAAGGACAATTTTGAGCACAAGTGTATTTTTGTTCTTAGCAATAAGAGATTAGTTGGCCCTCTCATTTCCTAGCTTTTCTTTGACCTTGGAGAACACTGTTGCCATGCAACCATATTTTTTTGGTCTAAGCATCTGGAATCACAGAGTTGATGGGCTATAAATCTATAAATCAAGTTTTCCTTAATGGATAAAGGCTAATTATTGTCACTCTAAATGACAGTGTTAATAAAAATGCAAATACAGACATTTACCACACAAATGTGGCCAACCCATTTTAACATGTATCCAGTTCAATTTAAGGGAGTCACTCCTTAATTAGTTTATGTTCTTTATTTCTAATCTGCTGAATTAAGAAAATTATATTTTATTCTGAAATTTGTTTTTGTTTTTTCTCTTTTTTCTTTTGGGTACTGGGGATTGAACTCTGGGGGCACTCAAAATATGTTTATTCACCTCAAGACTTCACTACTTCCCCAACTCTATTTTTATTTTTATTTATTTATTTTAGAAACAGGGTCTCACTGAGTTGCTTAGCTTAGTGCCTCGGTGTTGCTGAGGCTGGCTTTGACTTTGAACTCATAATCCTCCTGTCTCAGCCTCCCAAACTGCTGGAATTACAAGCCTGTGCCACCATGCCCGGTTTATTCTGAATTTTATTTCAGGTAAAGAAATGCCTTTTACTTACCAAAAAGGACTTTCTACTTCTAGGGAGAATGTGTGTTTGTCATCATATTTATAATTGTTTTTTCAATAAGATGAATTCATTAAAATGTTTAAAAACATAAAAAATGCCCAATTAGTTAATCATTAATTTATGCTTATATATTTAAATGTCAGGTAGGTCTACCTGAGTCTTTAAAAGAATAGAAGTCACTCAGGAAGAATAAAAATGAACTAGCAATTTAAGAAGACAAGTATCTTTTTTTTTTTTTTTCAAATGAGAGTGTATAAGGAGGAAAGCTTTGGACAGCAAATTATTACTTTTATTATAAGAAAATCATTTATGTACAAATAGAAATACAGACAGACATGTATGTATTTGCACTCATGTATGTGAATGTGTAATTACACACACATATCCATAGGAAGTCCAAAACAATCTATATGTATTAGTCAGGATTTTCTAGAGGAATGGAATCAACAGGAAGTATAATTATAAAAAGGAGATTTATTAGGTTGGTTTAGGCAACCAGAAACTGGATAGTCCATAATG